CTGGAAAGCGTGGAGTATGCATTCTGAGTGCTATCTTGAAAACAATGGGTACCATATTAAGCATGCAGGGTAAACATGCTTACCGGGTGAGGGAGCTATATTTACCAGACTGACAGGCTACATGTGAGGTTTTTTGCTCGGAAGATGCAACGCAAGCGGCTTTACAAGACCTTACATCAGCTCAGCACCTTTCCCCGTCGAAGTATTAGCCCCAGTCGCTGCCCTTTATCTGTCTGTTTACTGACCCTAGTGGCGTTGGCTGACGGTAACGGCAATCTTGGAAACTCGTCCAGTGCTTAATGATCACAGTAAGTAGGGCTCTATTTCCCTAGCATTCTCTCGGGTCACCCGGGTGAATGTGATTTTTGGCCGCCGACAACATGAGTACTCCCACATTCCGTGCGATAGCTTCTTCGTGTTGAACAACACGCGTTAAGGATGTAATTTTTTTAGATTCTTGTTTGGGTTAGGCCGGTAAAGAAGTGTCAGCTCGAGCTTAAGTGCGAATTTGCTCAGAACTCGAGCCTAAACTTCGGTAGTTTGGGGAAAGAATCCGAGTTAGCACCTTACCATGATATCCGTTTGACGGAAAATTCAGAAAATTGAAACCTACCATGAAGCAGCCACCTTCTGGTCCCTTCCTCCACGTAGTGCAATTGCCTGCATCGGTCATGGCCCACGTAGTCATCACCACCAAGAGGGCAAACATCGTCCTGAAACTCTTGCCAGATAGCATAAGTTAGACATCAACAGACTACTAACAAAATGAAATTTTGAAAAAGAGTGACGGTGTTCAATTCGATTTAGAGGATGACTCCAACAAACGATCGAAACGATTCTTCAAATGTTATTAGCGGCTTCTAAAGTACTTGAGTCTGATTCAGATGAGTTTACACGAACGGTCTTTTCTATATGAATCGTCTCGGAGATACGCTGGCCTTTTTCGGACTCTCACTCCACTTAGAAACTTTGGGTAAATTGAAAATATTGCCATGTTGAGACTTACGGGCGGTAGTTCCTGAGCTGCTACAAATCAAGTGAATTATAAAATTCTTGAGCACAAATATCCGTCTAGGCTATTCCACGTGGTCCACGTGTCGAAACAATTGAGCGCGTTTGATTGGCGCAACAAAAAAAAACTTGTGGGAGAATTTGAAGACGAAGGGCCCCAAAACATACTCTGGAAGGTCGGAAGAAGCTATAACGTGGACTAGCTAGGACGTTGGGCGCTATCGCAATAT